TGAGTCCATATATGCAAAGCAGTATATCCGGAGCTAGATCAAACACAAGCTCACATGTCCATCTCGACTTTACAACAACAACAACAACAAAGCCTTTAGTCCCAAACAAGTTGGGGTAGGCTAGAGGTGAAACCCATAAGATCTCGCAACCAACTCATGGCTCTGGCACATGGATAGCAAGCTTCCACGCACCCCTGTCCATAGCTAGCTCTTTGTCGATACTCCAATCCTTCAGGTCTCTCTTAATGGATTCCTCCCATGTCAAAATCGGTCGACCCCGCCCTCTCTTGACATTCTCCGCACGCTTTAGCCGTCCGCTATGCACTGGAGCTTCTGGAGGCCTGCGCTGAATATGCCCAAACCATCTCAAACGATGTTGGACAAGCTTCTCCTCAATTGGTGCTACCCCAACTATATCTCGTATATCATCATTCCGGACTCGATCCTTCCTCGTGTGGCCACACATCCATCTCAACATACGCATCTCCGCCACACCTAACTGTTGAACATGTCGCCTTTTAGTCGGCCAACACTCCGCGCCATACAACATTGCGGGTCGAACCGCCGTCCTGTAGAACTTGCCTTTTAGCTTTTGTGGCACTCTCTTGTCACAGAGAATGCCAGAAGCTTGGCGCCACTTCATCCATCCGGCTTTGATTCGATGGTTCACATCTTCATCAATACCCCCATCCTCCTGCAAGATTGACCCCAAATACCGAAAGGTGTCCTTCCGAGGTACCACCTGGCCATCAAGGCTAACCTCCTCCTCACAGCTAGTAGTACTGAAACCGCACATCATGTACTCGGTTTTAGTTCTACTAAGCCTAAACCCTTTCGATTCCAAGGTTTGTCTTCATAACTCTAACTTCCTATTTACCCCCGTCCAACTATCGTCAACTAGCACCACATCATCCGCAAAGAGCATACACCATGGGATATCTCCTTGTATACCCCTTGTGACCTCATCCATCACCAATGCAAAAAGATAAGGGCTCAAAGCTGACCCCTGATGCAGTCCTATCTTAATCGGGAAGTCATCGGTGTCGACGTCACTTGTTCGAACACTTGTCACAACATTATTGTACATGTCCTTGATGAGGGTAATGTACTTTGCTGGGACTTTGTGTTTCTCCAAGGCCCACCACATGACATTCCGCGGTATCTTATCATAGGCCTTCTCCAAGTCAATGAACACCATATGCAAGTCCTTCTTATGCTCCCTATATCTCTCCATAAGTTGTCATACCAAGAAAATGGCTTCCATGGTCGACCTCCCAGGCATGAAACCAAACTGATTTTTGGTCACGCTTGTCATTCTTCTTAAGCGGTGCTCAATGACTCTCTCCCATAGCTTCATTGTATGGCTCATCAGCTTAATTCCACGGTAATTAGTACAACTCTGAACATCCCCCTTGTTCTTGAAGATTGGTACTAATATACTCCGTCTCCATTCTTCTGGCATCTTGTTTGCCCGAAAAATGAGGTTGAAAAGCTTGGTTAGCCATACTATCGCTATGTCCCCGAGACCTTTCCACACCTCAATGGGGATACAATCAGGGCCCATCGCCTTGCCTCCTTTCATCCTTTTTAAAGCCTCCTTCACCTCAGACTCCTGGATGCGCCGCACAAAACGCATGCTGGTCTCATCAAAGGAGTCATTCAGTTCAATGGTAGAACTCTCATTCTCCCCATTGAACAGCTTGTCGAAGTACTCCCGCCATCTATGCTTAATCTCTTCGTCGTTCACCAAGAGTTGGCCTGCTCCGTCCTTGATGCATTTGACTTGGCCAATATCCCTCGTCTTCCTCTCCCGGATCTTAGCCATCTTATAGATGTCCCTTTCGCCTTCCTTCGTGCCTAACCGTTGGTAGAGGTCCTCATATGCCCGACCCCTTGCTTCACCAACAGCTCGCTTTGCGGCCTTCTTCGCCATCTTGTACTTCTCTATGTTGTCTGCACTCCTATCCAGGTATAGGCGTCTGAAGCAATCTTTCTTCTCTTTAAGCGCCTTCTGGACATCATCATTCCACCACCAGGTATCCTTATCTTCGCTTCTCCTTCCCCTGGACACTCCAAACTCCTCCAAGGCCACCTTACGAATGCAAGTCGCCATCTTCATCCACATATTGTCCGCATCCCCTCCTTCCTCCCAAGGGCCCTCCTTAAATACCCTCTCCTTGAACACCTGAGCTACCTCCCCCTTGAGCTTCCACCACTTCGTTCTAGCGACCTTGGCACGCTTATCCCGCTGGACACAAATCCGAAAGCGGAAGTCAACAACCACCAGCTTATGCTGGGGTACAACACTCTCCCCAGGTATCACCTTACAGTCTAGGCATGCACGCCTATCTTCTCTTCTCGAGAGGATGAAATCAATCTGGCTAGAGTGTTGGCCACTACTAAAAGTCACCAGATGTGATTCTCTCTTTCTAAAGAGGGTGTTAGCTACAATCATGTTGTAGGCTAGAGCAAAGCTTAAGACATCTTCTCCTTCTTGATTCCTGATGCCATAGCCAAAGCCCCCATGCGCCCCTTCAAAACCTGTGTTAGATGTACCCACGTGGCCATTGAGGTCTCCTCCTATGAAGAGCTTCTCACCAATCGGTACACTCCTAACCATGTCTTCCAAGCCTTCCCAGAACTCCCTCTTGGTGTTCTCATTGTGGCCTACTTGCGGGGCATATGCGCTGATAACATTGAGAACCAAGTCCTCAGCTACCAGCTTGACCAGGATAATCCGGTCCCCACGTCTCCTGACGTCTACCACTCCATACTTGAGGCTCTTGTTGATCAAGATGCCTACGCCATTTCTATTTGCAGTCGTCCCCGTGTACCACAGCTTGAAGCCGGTATCCTCCACCTCCTTCGCCTTCTGTCCTCTCCATTTGGTTTCTTGGACGCAAAGGATATCAACACCTCTCCTCACTGTTGCATCAACTAACTCCCGAAGCTTCCCTGTCAGAGACCCTACGTTCCAGCTACCTAAGCGAATCCTCCTAGGCTCGGCTAGCTTCCTTACCCTTCGCACTCGTCGAGTCAAATGCGAAGACCCTTGCTCATTTTCCACTACATCCGGGCGCCGATGTAGCGCGCCACTAAGGATGCGACGACCCGATCCTCGCTCACTTGCCACCGTATCCGGATCAAGATACGGCGCGCCACTTGGGGGGTGACGGCCCGGCCCTTGCCCATTTTCCACCACACCCGGGTTCCGATGTGGCGCGTCGCTGAGAGGGTTACGCCCCAACGAAAATCTTTTGGGTTTCATCTCCATAAGAGTGGCTGAGTTTTTACGTTGGCTCGCCAAGCCTATCACAACCCTCCTCCTTTACCCGGGCTTGGGACCGGCTATGTTGAGACAACATAGGCGGAGTTTGAAAAAGGGCAACCTGGTGCATGTAGCTCCCGCTTGCGCAGGGTCCAGGGAAGGGTCCGACCACTTCGACTTTGGGTAAAGGAAATGCGATGCGTTCTGGCTTTGCTTACATTCTTTCCTTTAAGACAGAGATTCTTGTTCCTGGTGATATGGACCTAAAAGGGCTATGTCACCAGCAACTCTTAAATGTTCTTCGAGTAAAGTTAAGGGGAATTTGCCAAAAAGGACATATTCCAACATCTTTATAACAAAAAATACATAGGCTAGTTCAGCAGACGCGCTATTTTACTAATAATAATGAAATAAATGCAAGTACACCAAGCCAAGCAAGACACAAGTTTTTGCTAAGTCTAATAGTAACAGTAGTTCCAGCGGAAAAGTTTCACATCGACAGTAATACTATCTTATGCAGACATACAATAGCTAAAGTATATTTCAAGACAAGGACGTCAGAAGAAAAGCAAACGGTATTGTGCAAATGCAGGAAGACAGGAGAAAAATGAGTAAATGACAGTTGATACCTTGACTTTCCCTGGGCACAGTTATGATAAGAACCGATTTTGCTTCACTTAGCCATGCCAGGCCACTCACTGTCAACAAAGGTCAACTGAGGTTGAAGAACCTTGCTTAGTTCCTCAGTTTCCACAACCACAATGACACCTCAGGATTGAACCATATGCTTGATTGCTCACTCTCCACAAGTGTGCATCATCCATGAGGCTCACCAAGTAACTGGTTCTGCCTTCAATTGCTGCCAGACTCTTTTCTTCTGGAAATAGGAGGGGTTGTACACCGCAGCTGTGGGGCATTATAGATCGCGGCTGTGAGGTCCAGAAGAGGCAATCTGTACATAATAAGCTGTGAATCTAATGAGTACATGTTTTTGCCCACAAAAAAGGTTGTAGGTAAGCATTACATGGACAGTCCGCATACCTGAAAACAAACAGCGGATATTCTGCAAAGAACTTTCTTCTTCATATGTCCAAATATTAATGCCATTCAGGATTTGGTTAGCAGTACTCCCTCTGATCCATATTAATTGTCACGGCTTTAGTACAAAGTTGTACTAAAGCTGCGACAACCAATATGGACCGGAGGGAGTAAAAGAATTAAAAGAAAACTCCAGAAAAGGGAAAAACTTCGCTGACAATAAGGACAAAACAATACTGTGATACACTGTTCGGCCACAAATATCAGTACTGCTGGTAACAACCTGGAAAAGGATGTTCGTGGAGTACCGATCCAAACCATCCATAATGTTAACCAAGTGGTATGTTGAGCAACCAGATAAAATAGCAAAACCTTCATTCTCATACAGCTAGAGATAAAACAACATATTGTAGAAGTATCAGCACTTCCAAGTTTTTGTGACATACAAAATGACTATGTCTCTAACTCACATTATCAGCATCACTGTTTAAGTTTTGAGATGACAAGACACATGCCCAGATGCCATACAAGATGATTTAGGAATGGCTAGCCCCAGACCAACAACTGTATACAAAGGTGATAGTCAAAAGTAGTAGAGGCTAGGAAACTATAGAAACTAGCAGATGTCAACAAATATTTGATTCAAAACGGCAGGTCAACAAAGGCATAACCGAGTCAGCATCAACTGTTTTAATCAGCATTTAGAAGTTCCCTCTGCCTCCTTCACAGTTTCAGTGATTCCCTGAAGAAGTTCTTTAGAGATAGCAGCTGGATCTACCTCAAAGCTACCTTTAGGGACATTTGGAGCTTCTTCCCCTGACATCCTGTAAAAGGGAACCTGATGTGAAAACCGAAACATCTCTCCCTTTGGAATCCTCTTGATGGCATCCCGGTCCTGATGATGCTGGAAAACTGTTCGAAATCCAGTGAGCTTAATCAAGGGAATGACAGAAATTCCATTATCTTCATCATAATCATCCTGTACCTCAACCAGATCATAAACATGAAGCACATTATCAGGAGTATCTCCATTCCAGTCAGGGGACCAATTTCGGTACAAAGCCCAGATATCACCTTTCCGCGGATAAATTTTGACCACCCCACGTGGACCTTTCTCCCATTTTATCTGGTGAGAGAACATATTGATTATATCTACGGTTTCGTATTTACCAATCCTGAAATCACCGCATGTCTTTATGAAGCCAGAAGAAGCCCAATTCAATGGTCCAAATTCACTATTTGTCCTCGATGCGAGATAACTTATTTTGACCTTAAATGGAGTCAAGGAGATAACTTTCTGAATGTATGCGTAATAACGAGGCATACCATCTTCATCATCATATGAAGCCCAAATTTGATCACTCTGAAAAGATTCCTCAGTACGATCCTTGTCAAAATCATGGAAATCAGGATCAGGAACAGTATAGGAGAAAGTGTTGTCATCTTCATTTTCAGCATCTGCGCTATTAGAAGAACCATTCTCCTCTGGATCAGCAGAGACATCTTTGTTTGCGGTAGAATCATCTGATGCAAGAGTTTCATTACCCTCAACATGTTCGTTAACCACATGTTTCTCGCTAGCTTTTCCATTAACTGTAACTTGGAGTGGTTTACTTCTTATCTCCTTTAGATTCTCCCTCAAATTGCTCTTCATCTTGTCAATCAAAATGCTCCTAATATCCTTCTTAGAGAAAGTCCTAGTTACGCTGATCCGAGTAGAAGGCCTGGGTCTCCAATTCGGTATCACACCATTAGCACCTTGAAACTCAAAGGCTCCACTGTTGCTTGAAAATGGTATAGTTCCACCAGGCGTTCCAACATAATTGGCCCATGGACCTGAGAGAATGGAGGAAGAACCAACTCCAGCATCGTTACCCACAGTTTTCATCTTCTTTCCAGATGCAACATCACCCATTCCATGGTTAACATTCTCGGACACATTTGCTTTCCTTTTTAGAGGATTGTGCTTCCTCTGAAGAGCTTCTTCCCTTCTTGCTGCAGCTTGCGCCTCCTCCCTCTCTCTCTTGACTTTCTCATACGTCTGATGAACCATATTAGCAGCTTGAGCACCAGCAGCAGATGATGCAGTAGCACTAGCTGGACCAGCTGTCCTTGAGAACAGACCCCACTGAAACTTTCTGCCAGTGCTTGCATCGTGAGTTGCACCACGGATGTTTGAATCACGTACTGCCTGAACAACCTCAGGTGGTGGCATCGGAACCTCTTTTGCTATGAATGGCTCGCGGCAGCTAGGGCAAAGCAGATTGCGATTTAAATACTCTCTGAGGTATTCAAAATTCATCTTGCACCTGTTGCATGAGGTCCAAAATGTAGGTTGTGCTGCTGGAGGTGGAGCTGGAGCAGCAGCCTGATGGCGGGGAAGCGGCCGCTGTGGTGGCGGGGGTGGAGACGGGCGCTGTGGGGGTGGGGGCGGGGGCGGGCGCTGGCGCACTGCAGATGTTGCTGATCCTGTCTTTTCTTTGTTTGCACTTGCCTTGGAAGCGGGTGCTTTGGCTGCGAAATGTTCAAAGCCATTGGCTGCACTTGTCTTATTTGATTGAGATGTCTTCTGTTGCATTGCAATCAGTTTCCTTTTTTGGTCAAACAGCGCTCTCTTGGTTTTGTCGGACAGCACGGTCCATGCCTCTTGAACCATCTGGAAAGCACCCTCAGCACCAACTGACTTGTTCTTGTCGGGATGGAGCTGAAGCACCAACTTCCTGTACTGCTTCTTCAGAGTTTCATCATCTGCCGACATGTCCACGGAAAGGATAGAGTACCAGTCCTTCCCACCAGCAATCTTCACCTCCGAAGTAAGGTAAACATCCAAGGTAGTGATCATCTGCACAATACCTTCGAGATCCGGAAAGAGAGCCTTGGCCTTGAGGGCGAATTTCTTGGCCCCCTGCAGGTCCCTGGATTGGAACTTCCTCTCTGCAATTTCCTTCGCCCTAAGGGCCTCATCCTTGTTGCACTCCATTCCGTCACAGCTCAAAAAGGTACGAACAGCAGCCACGCTCTCACTATGGATTCCAGCGAGATATCAGACAACAGAGAACCACAACACCTTCCACCAATCAGCGCTGAGAGTGTGACCAAACAAACCTTCCAAGCCCTGCCCAAAAGGGATCAAATGTTAACAAAAATCATAGTATATACAACTAATTGCAGCATCAAGATTTTTGACAAATACAGTCCTCTCCAGCATGACAGTAATTATAACTACACAAAACCCAAACACCGCCCTATAGAGTGCATGAACGTCACAGAGATACGAAAGATCAACTGAAGATACATAATTTTGGTACAATTCCAACCATCAGGGTGCATAACTGAATTATAAGTACATCCAACTCAAACAGTGCCCTAGTGCCCAATGGGTGACAGCAGTGGATCTAGAATTCTAGATGGTGCCCCCCCACCCACCCACCCCGGTCCACCCCACCCCCCTGGTGGGAATTAACTAGGAGAATTGCTGGATGAAAACAGCGAACTTATTCGCTTGTATTCAGTTTACACTGGTATGTCAGCAGGCAGTTGTAATTTAGTTCAAAAGAAAGCATCAAGTCCGACAATTTTCAAGGATATTCATAAACAGTTCATGAGCGGGGAATCAAACTAGCACTAAGGAGCACCAAATCTGCACCTAATCAAACCGAGAGTGGAAGGAATCTGCAGACGCTCAAGAGGTCCGTCGCTCTGGATGGGTACGGCGGCGGCGGTGGCGGCGGGGAAGCACGGAAAGGGTAGAAGGCCGCGCCGGCGGCGGAGAAGCGAGATGAGGAGGCGCCCGCGACAGAGACCGGACGCAGGGGGAGAAGCGAAGGGGGTGGCAGCGGCGGGGAAGCAGAAGACGGGGAGGCGGCGGCCTCGCCACGACCCGCCGGCGGCGGCGAGCAAGCACGGGACGAGCCCCGTGTTTATGCCCGGAAAAAAATGGGGACGGGGAACAGTGGTTTTGTTTTTGAGATTTGATGATTTCGACTGGATTTCGACGATTTGCCTTCGTTTACTTTGCAATACATATATATTGCCCTAGCTTTTCTTGTCAATTTTTCCTCTCGATTTAGCGTGAAAAGACGAAAATACCCTCACCCTAGGTTTTCTCATCGATTCCATGTGTAAAGACCAAAATGCCCTTGTCCCCCATTTTTGTCTAAGTTTTTCTTGGTCGGATTCAGATGCAAGGACCAAAATGCCCTTTACCCTAGCTTTCTTGGGGGCTCGTATGTAAAGATTGAAATGCCCTTGCCCTCTCACACCCCACCAAGCGTGTAAATCGCCGGCCTTAGCTTGTTATATAGATGGGCTTTAGGCCCATAAAACAATTTCAGAAAAAAAAAACTCTAAAGGCCCATGCATGTGTCATGACTAGGTGGTCAAAGTTTAATACTATCTCAAGAGTGAAGAAAGTTTTAGACCTTCTTAAAGCCTTGTTCGGTTGAGATGGATTTGAAGGGGATTGAGAGGGTTTAAATCCCGAGAGAAGGTTTAACTGAACAATGCCTACAAGGGATTCTTTTTCACATGCTATTGGAGCATGAGAATAAAAGTGATTCATGCGTGCTCCTCCTCCGCCACTCGTCTCGCCTTGCTTGCGTCATGTGTGCGGTTATTTTTTACCGGTTAGGAACGAAAATTTAATTAGTACTCCATCCATCCCATAATGTAAGTTTAATGCTATCCCAGGAGTGGAGAAAATTTTAGACCTTTTTAAGGCCTTGTTCGGTTGAGGTGGATTTGAAGGAGGATTAAGAGGGATTAAATCCCGAGAGGTCTAAATCTCTCTAAATCCCCTTCAATCCTCTCCAATCTCTTTGAGCCAAGGTTTAATTGAACAAGGCGTACAAGGATTCTATTTCACATGTTATTGAAGCATGAGAATAAAAGTGGTTCCTGCTTGCTCCTCCTCCGCCACCCGTCTCGCCTCGCTTGCGTCATGTTTCATGAATGAGCCGAGCTCAGGCCTATGTCATGTGTGTAGTTATTTTTTGCCGGTTAGAAACGAAAATTTAATTAGTACTCCATCCATCCAATAATGTAAGATATTTTTTGACACTACACTAAAATAAAAAAATGTCTTACATTATGGGGCAGATGAAGTAATTAATTACGATTGTTAACGAACGCGCTACGAATCCGAAACGTCAAATCATGAATTGTTGTCTACTCGAGCATGGTCGAGCCCACGTCTTCTTACCACAACCCTAATATATTGGAGGCATCAACAACCCTAGCATTCACCCACATCAGCTCGCATTTGCCTCCTCACACACAACCCACCGGCGCTCCACTCGTTGTTGCTGCTTTCGATGATCCCATCCCGCTCGCCATGTGCACGGCTATATGGGAGAGCAGGCCTCCAGACCTTTGTCCTTTGCAATCCTGCACTAGGAGAAGGGGATTAGGTTTTTGAGGAGCGTCTCATACGCGGCTGCTCGCCACCGTTCGTCTTCGTCCGCTACCCCGTGTGATGAGCCACTAATCGTGAGTCAGACCGAGTCCGAGAAGAAGGCTACCGAGGATACAATCACCATCGCGACTATGGCTTGGCCGATAGAAGGGTATGATCTGTTCATCCCCCTCATGTTTATTTCTGTGGTTAACGTACTAGCTATTTACGTAGATGTATCTGCTATATACGCAGCACATGCTTACATGATAAGATATCAATATGAGTTTAACACTGTTAATGACATGTTCATAATTTATTCATGAATAAATCAATCCAAAAATCGATAACTTATCCATCATAGCCATCACCATGTCTCAATGTCAATTTGACACGTCTCCCCTTTTGATCCCTTCCCATCGGGAGTTATGCTCGATGCTCTAATCCTTTTATTGATTGAAATATTTTCCTAAAAGATTTGATGTTACATCTGAGACCGGATGTTATTTTTAAATAGCTATTTGGTTTATAAACATATAGCCTTTCTGGCCTTTGTTTTCGGTTGGAAGATTTCTCATAGCCGAGCCTTAGGTACTTTTATCTTTAAAAATAGATAATTGTTTGTGTATTATAGGAATGTATAAATTTTCTAATATGTTAGTATGTGATTTACCTATCAATATTAATACGATTGTGTAAAAATATTGATAAAAATACTTATTTGGTAAGTACTTATTGTCTTACTAAAGAAAATATTTTTTTTTGGAAATTCAATAAGTGATGGGCATTGCGACGGTTTTCAAGGAGAACGGTGGGAAAACCGAGTAGTGATAAAATAAGGGTCTGACGAAGGAGGAATGGACTGACTCGCAACCTTACGTCTTTTTCAAATAGCAAGAGATGTGAAGATTTGTGCAAAATCAGTGTATTGTACTACTATTTCATATTACACAGAGGTTTTATATATTTTCTGGACATTTTTCTACACCTCGAGCCCACTTTCTGTGCTAAATACCTCTACCCAGATTCATAACTAGATGAACTAGAGCTCATCTAAACACCAATTGGTAAGACTCATCCTTATCGATTACTAGTTACATGAGCAAAGGGGGCACAGCACAAGGCGTTTGTCACCTGGAAAACGAGGAAATCTCCAATGCAAATCAAGTTACACTAAAGACTTAACGGGAACCATGTTTCGATATATTCAAAAAGTATTTAAAAGACGTTTGGGAAAGAAGTTGTCTGATAAACATGTGAAGTTAGAAGTTCAAAGTAGTGTGCATTTGGGAGCGAAGAGAAAAAAATTACAAACTGTGCATGAATAGTGGCGTTATATAGGGTTGGACCAAAAGCTGGTAGTTCACGAGATTAATGAGCGCTCGATAGCTCGGCTCATTAAGCTCGTAGCTCGATTCTTAATGATCAGAGTTTTTAATGATCAGAGTTAATCATTGATTTTAGCTTGTTAAGCTTAACGAACGAGCTAACGAGTTTCATGAGCAGCTCGTTAATACAACACACCGCATTTTTGCCTTGTGACGACAATTTATAGCACATCAGACCATCTATTCAATCAAATCGACACAACCTAGCCCATATGAGGCAACAAATTAACTAGTGCACATCCTTTTGTAGTCACCGTCTTACTTTATAAAACACACCAACACACTCATTTAGTAGGCCGTAACATAGTCTTGTCTGTTAACAAGTGCTCATGAGATCTCACGAGCTTAACGAGCTTCAAACGAACAGAGCTGAGCAGAGTTTTTCTGCTCGTTAAGTTTAACGAGCCTAGTCTTAACGTGCCGAGCAGCTCGTTGATCCACCCCTAGTGTTGTACTATTTGTCACTAATCATCCTTGAATTGGGGTCTTCCATACATGTTTGATGACATCGATCCCAAGTTTGATTTTTTACGTGCTTGTAGAACATCACCTTCCCAAATTTACTTCTTATTTTAGAAATTTCAGATTAATTGTAATATAGTTTTGGAAAACGCTTGTGTTCACCCGACAGATCTACCTGCCCGCGTCAACCACCTTCGTGCCCGTCAAATCTTCATTGTCAGACGGTCGGGAGCCAACCCCCGCCACTTCACTTTCCTGCAACTTGACCCATGTTTCAGAATCATTTCCGCACTCGGCCTTTGTTGCAAACCACGTCGTCGCCGGGCTCTTTTGAAGGAGACGCTACAAGGATGTTTGGGTGGTGTAGGTCGCCGTTGGATTTCGCGGGAGACCGCCTCACCATGGGTGGGTGTTGTAGGGTGGGTCGTCGGAATTTCTGCAACAAGTCGGTGGTCGGTGATCGCAGTGCTCCGGCATGCTCATTGGTGTGCTCGTCATCGGAGAGGAGGATGGCGGCGAGGTGACTTGGTCAGAGGTCCCGACACTTGTCGGCAGCGGCGCGATGGCAAGGACGGGCGGCGCTGCTCCTCCCTCACCATCATACGATGGGAGATCACGGCGTACGACGGCGGATTTTTTTCTTGCAACATCCTCCCTACTGCAAGACAGATTTCTGCAACACCAGTGATGTTGTATAATTTTCTCCCGTAGCACCACATAAAAGGTAAAGACAAAAAA